CGCGCAGAGCGGCGCGGGCAGCAGCGGCGGGGCGGCCCCGCAGCGCTCGGCGCGGCCATGCTCGGCCTGGACGTGTGCGAGGCGGGCGGGCAGCTGCTCGAGCTGCTCTGGCTCGCGCTCTGCTACCGAGGTGAGCGGGCGCCGGGCGCGGGGCGGGCGCCGGGCCGAGCGGTGCCCCGGGCACGGGACGTCCCCGCGGGGCTCGCGGTGCCAGCAGCGCTCTGGGGGACTGTGGTCCTGGGGACGCACATGGCGCACGTGGCACCAGAGCATCSCGGCGCGGGGCCGCCCGCTGCAGCCCGGGTGATGCCACCTGCGTGCGTGAGGGTGCCAGGGTGCTGCTGTCGCAGGGCTGGCCCCTTGCGTCACCCTGAGCGGCGAGTTGCCRTTGCCACCTGGCAGGGCCTCTGCTTTGCACCCTGGCCCGGGCTTTGCCCTGGCTGCCGCCTGCCCCAGCACCCCAGGGCAGGTGATGCTGGAGGCCTCGGGGATGAGCAGCATTTGCAGCCAGGGCAGCAGCTGGAGGGGACGGGGTGGGTGGTGATTTGGCAGCACTGTGCAGGGACCCCGGCTGTGCCTTGGTCTGGAGCTGGAAGCAGGGAGTGTTGGAGGACAATGGCACAGTGGAGAGCACCCCAGGGTCACAGGAGGACCCTGGCCCAGGGGAGAGCACCCACCTTGCTGCATCCCTCTTGCCCCCAGCACCCTGGCACCGCCTCCCCCAGAGCTGCTGTTTTGGAGAAGCTGCTCTCCCTGTCCTGGCTTTTTCCTGTGAAACCTCTGGCTGCTGCTGTGGGTGGCCGTGGGGTGGGAGCTGGGGCTGGTGGCTGCTGCCCTGGGCAGCAAGGGCATGCCAGGAAGTGACAAGAGCTCCCTGGGTGACTGGGCAAAACGGACCCAKCAGGCTGCAATAGTGCCCGGGGGGCTGCAATCTGTGCAGGCACCAGCTTGTTCTGCTCTGCAAGCGGGTCCCTTTGCAGGGTCTGCAGAGCCCGGTGCAGGGGACCCTGCTCTGTGCAGGGCTGTTCTCAGTGGGGCTGGAGCCAGGCAGCCCCGTGGTGCCCCAGCCGGCGGGGACAGAGCGGTGGCACCTGCTGSCCCATGTGCTCAGGGGGCTGCCATGCACGGCAGCCCCGGGCCGGCGCCGGGACCCCCGTGTCCCTGGGGCCGGGGTCCCGCCCCGGGGTGGCCACAGGGGCTGCCACCGCCTGTGCCCTGCAGACATCATGGCGGACAAGGAGGGGGTGACGCTGTCGCTGGAGGAGGAGGATGCCGACGTGGCCCTGGCGTACAGGACGCCGCAGAAGAAGAGCCTGCAGGAGATCCAGCAGCTGGACCCGGACGACGAGAGCCTGCGGAAGTACAAGCAGGCGCTGCTGGGGGCCATCCCCATGGCTGTGGGTAAGGCTGTGGCCGCGCCGGGCGCCGCTGTCCCTGCAGCGCGCGGGCAGCGCCCTGGCACGGGGCACGGGGAGGGCCGCGGCACAGCTGGCGTCACCCGCAGGTGTTGCCCATTCCCACCCCCCCACCCCATCCCTTGCAGCACGGAGACACCGGCATCCCCCTGCCGACACGGGTAATGGCTGCCCGGGGACCCCGTTGCCTTGGTTACGGGATCACCGCATGGTTTCCATAGGAACGGTTACGGAAGGACCGGGAAATTCATTGGCATGACAGAGATGGAGCGAATGGCTGCGGGGAGGGGCAGCCTGGGCTGCGGGGAGGGGGCGGCTGGCAAGGCTGGTCCTGCCCTGCGTGGTCCCCCCACCCCAGGGGACAGCGGTGCCAGCCCGCTGTGTCGCGAGGGGACAGAGGTGGCCCCTCCGTGTCCGTGTGGCCCTGGCCAGGCCCAGGTGCTCCACGGGCCCAGCATGTCGGCATGGGACGCAGCCCGGCCCCACTGCATATAGATGGCAGTGGGTGCAAGTTGSTGGTGGATATGGGAGCTGGTGGGTGCAATGGGGCTGGTGGGGGTGCAAGCTGCTTGGTGGGGTGCAAGGGAATATGTGGGGCTGATATGAGGTGTCAAGGGGACACCTGAGCGTGTGTCTGTGGTCCCTGGGACCATGGCACATGTGTGAGTGCCCCGCTGAGCCCCTCGGGCCTCTCCAGACCCATGGATGAGCACAGCAGACCTGGTTCCTCTTAAACACGGCCTTACCCCAAAGGACTTGGTGCCAAGGTTTGGGTGGCCCGAGGTGCCCCAGTGCCCTGTGGCTGAGCACGGGCAGGGTGGGTAAGGCCTGTGCCCTCCTGCTTGCACTAGATGCCCGGGTGCCCAATGTGCAGGTGATGCGGCTGACCCTGCTGTGCGAGCAGGCGCCGGGGCCCATGATCATGGACCTCACAGGTGAGACAAGAGCCGTGGGTGCCCGTGCCCGGGGAGGAYGGGGGCACGGCGGCGCTCTGGGGTCCCTTCTCCCTGGCAGGTGACCTGGAGGCGCTGCGGAGCCGCTCCTTCGTGCTCAAGGAGGGGGTGGACTACAGGGTGAAGGTGTCCTTCAAGGTGAGGCTGCTCTGCACAGCGCCGCTCACCCGGCACCCCGCGCCCTGCTGCCCCGGGCTTCCCCTCACTCATTGCTCCCGCACACCAGGGGAGCGATGCCCTGTAGCACATGTCACCCCGTGGTCCCTGCCACCCCATGGTCCCCATCCCTCTGCCCTGGGATCCCTGCTGTCCTCGGAGGTCCAGGCCACCCCTCAGGTCCCAGCCTTTGAGGAGGGCCCTGCTACACTGAGCACCTGCTCCTCAAGGGTCCATGCCCCTTGGAAGTCCCTGCCATTCTACAGAACCTCTGCCACCCCGAGCTCCCTGTTACCCTAGGGTGCCAGCCACCTTGGGTGCCCCCAGCACCCCTGCTCGGCGCCCAGTCCTCACTAACGCTCCAGGAGCTGGGGCAGCTGGGCAGGAGCGGGACATGGGGCACGTGCCTCTCTGCACTCCAGTGCCTGCACCACATTGTGGTGCGGTGCCCACCACGCGCCCCACTCTGCCCGCAGGTCAACAGGGAGATCGTCTGCGGCCTGAAGTGCCTGCACCTCACGTCCCGCCGGGGCCGGCCGGGTGAGTTGGGGCACAGGGGCCGGCGCGAGGGTGCCCGCGCCGCTCACCCCGCCGCCCTCTCGCCCAGTGGACCGCGACGCCTTCATGGTGGGCAGCTACGCGCCGCGYGCCGAGGAGTACGAGGTGGTGACGCCGGGCGAGGAGGTGCCGCGGGGCCGCCTGGCGCGGGGCGCCTACCGCGTCCGCTCGCTGGTCACYGACGACGACAAGACGGAGCATCTGCGCTGGGAGTGGGGCCTGCGCATCGAGCGGGACTGGGAGGGCTGAGGCCCGCCCGGCGCCCGCCGCGCGCCCCGCGCCGCCCTCCTCGCAACCAAAGTTATTTTTAATTGCTGTCTTATTTATTTATTTATTTTTTAATACCGCCGCTGCCGCCGCGGTGGCTGTCGCGCCCGCGGGGCCGGCCGCCCACCGGCCCCTTCCACCCCGCAGCCACCGCGGGCCACGCTCGTCCGTCGCCATTAAACCCTACAGACTTGGCTGCCGCTGCTGTGTCCTGCACCCGCCGCGGGGGAGGGCGCCGCTGGAGAGCGGCCACCTGCGCCCGCCGCCTTATCGGCACAGCCAGTAGCGGAGGGCCACGAGCCCCTGGGCACCGGCACCACCCGCGCCAGGGCCCTTATCAGCCCCCCGGCCCCGCGGCGGCGGTGGTGGCGCCATGCGGGGCTCCGGGGCCCGGCGGCTCTGGCTCGCGCTGCTGGCGCTGGCCTGGCTGGGCCTGGCGCGGGTGGGCAGCGAGGGGCCGGCGGGCAAGGCGGAGGATGGGGAGGTGGCGGAGGAGGCGGATGAGCAGGACGAGGTGCTCTCGGAGGAGCTGGGGGAAGAGGACGGCGTCTTGGTGCTCCACGAGCACAACTTCGCGCGGGCGCTGCGCGAGCACCGGCTGCTGCTCGTGGAGTTCTGTGAGTGCCGCGCGTGGGGAGGGTGCTGCGTGCCAGGGGCACGCACAGAGCGAGGGCACGTGGGGCAGGGGCACCCACACACGCAGGGATAGGGCGCTGCGTTGTGGGGGCTTGGGAGGAGCTCAGGGGTGCGGAGCAGGGCACACACGCCCTGGACATGGCCACAGCCCCTGGCACGGGACACGGGGCAGAGGCAGGGACGTGGGGTGTGGGACATGGGGCACACAACACAGGATATGGAGCAGGGCCACAGGCCATGGGGCAGGGGCACGGAGCACCAGCCCTGGCGCAGGGGTTGGGGTGCAGGACACGTATAGGAGCCCCCCAGGGCTCCCCTGGCCTTASCCTGCCCCTGGCCACCTGCCAGCCAAGGACCCCCAAGCCCTTGGAGACACCCCTTCGCTGGGTGATCCCTGCACCCACYGGTCACCCGCGGCCGGGGGGACAGCATGGCAGCCAACCGCCGCGCTGCCCCGCAGACGCGCCGTGGTGCCACCACTGCCAGACCCTGGCCCCCCAGCTGGCCCAGGCCGCCGCCACCCTGAGGAACGAGTCCAGGCAGCTGCGGCTGGCCAAGGTGGACGCCACAGCGCAGCCAGCCTTGAGCGCCGAGTTCGGCATCACCGCCTACCCCACGCTCAAGCTCTTCCGCGACGGCAACCGCACCCACCCTGTCCCCTACACCGGTAGGGCCACGGTGCGGCCTGGGCAGGGSGCTGCGGCACCTGTGCTGGTGCTGGAGGGGCCTGGGTGCTGGGACGGGTGCTCAGGGTGGCCTGGGCAGTGAGTGCCATGGTGGGGTGGATGCGGCAGGGGATGGTGAGAGGGTGGCAGCAGCGATGGTGACATCTTGGGGATGGCAAGCGGGTGGCTTYGGAGGTGTGCACAGTGACAGCATGGGCATGGTGAGCAGGTGGCAATAGGTGCTGGGGGGTGGTGGGTGCTGCTGGCAGGGGATGGCACATGGGGTGACAGAGAGCAGGTGAGAGCATGGCAGTGATGGGGTGTGTGTGTGCGTGGGGAATGCCAACGCTGTGACAGTGACGGGGTGTCACTGCTGTGTCACGGACAGGCGGCACTGGGGTGACGGTGAGTGGGCTGCTGTGTGAGGAGGGGCAGGGGGGACAAGGTGGCACTGGGGTGACGCGGGCGGCGCCGCTCGGCGGCCAGGCCCCCTGCACGCGCAGGGCATCGTGCGCTGGCTGCAGCGGCGCGCGGGGCCCAGCGCAGTGCTGCTGCCCGACGCCGMCGCCGCCGCCGCCTTCATCGCCTCGCAGGAGGTGGCCGTCGTGGGCTTCTTCCAGGTGGGCACAGCCGCCCAGGAGCCGGGGGGGGTTGGCGGCACCCCGGGCGCTCACGGCCGGTGACCCCGCAGGACCTGCGGGGCGAAGGCGCCCGGGTGTTTTACGAGGTCGCGGGCGACCTGGTGGACGTGGCGTTCGGCGCCGCCGAGGCGCCCGAGCTCTTCGAGGCCTACGGGCTGGCGGCCGACACCGTCTGCCTCTTCAAGAAGGTGAGCGGGGCCGGGGGTGGCTCCGCGGCGCCGCGGCGCCCGGCCGGCCGTGCCCAGCGCCTGCGCCCCGCAGTTCGACGAGGAGCGGGCCGAGCTGCCCGCGGGGCCGGCGCGCGGCCTCGGCGCCGCCGAGCTCTCCCGCTTCGTGCGCGTGCACAGCCTGCCGCTCGTCACCGAGTTCAGCAGCGAGGTACGGCCCGGCCTCCGCGCCCRCCCCGGCCTCCGCCCTGGTGCCAGCCTCACCAGCCTCCTCCCCACAGACCTCGGACAGGATCTTTGGGGCCAACATCTCACACCACATGCTGCTCTTCCTCAACACGACGGAGCCGGCGCAGCTGGAGCTGCGCGGCCCTTTCCGGGAGGCCGCCGCCGCCTTCCGCGGCCAGGTGAGCGGCCGCGGCCCCCGCAGCGCCCACAGCGCCCGCCGCCCGCCCCGCGCGCTGCCCCTCCGATGCCACCCCCGCTCAGGTGCTCTTTGTGCTCGTGGACGTGGGCGGCTACGGCGCCGGCGTGCTGCCCTTCTTCGGCCTGACGCCGGCCGACGCGCCCACACTGCGCCTCATCACGATGGAGAGCAACAGGAAGTTCCAGATGGAGGAGGAGGCCTTCTCGGCCGSGGCCGTGCGCGCCTTCGTGCAGGCCGTGCTGGACGGCAAGGTGAAGGTGAGGACGCCTGCGCCGGGGGCTGGCAGACCCCAGTGTGGCGGCTCGTGGCAGCTGGCCATGCCAGTGCTTCCCAAGGCGAGCGCCGCGCTGTTAACACTGAAGCTGAGTGACAGCTGCTGCTCAGTGAACCTCGGCCACCTGCACCAACGCTGTGTGGCCAGACAGGGTGAGAGGCTRGGGGAAAGGAGGCAGGTGACAGCCCCCTCCCAAGCACCACAACCGGAGACTCACAGTGACGGCAGARGGGGAAGGGGTGGTCCAAAAACACACAACAGAAGCGATGACCAGGAGCTGGTGCCACAGGGTCTGTGGAGGTGCCTGTTACCTGGCCCTGGTCCTGCTCGGCTGTGACGGGGCTGTCAGTTCAGAGCCTGAGGCCTCATTCCTTGCCGGCCTCCGACCAGGGCTGCCTGGTCCCCTCTGCTGCCCACCTGTGTCTGCCTCCATCCAGCCCCGTCTGCTGAGCGCGGAGCCCCCTGAGGACTGGGACACGAAGCCGGTTAAAGTCCTCGTGGGGAAGACCTTCGAGCAGGTGGCCTTTGACGAGACCAAGAACGTCTTTGTCAAGTTCTGTGAGTGCCGCTGCAGGCTGGGCCGGCCTGGCCATCGCAGCCCGCGAACTCCTTCCCTCCCACCCAGCCTGGCCCCATGCCCAGGCCGGGGCTGCCCCTGGCCCCTTGTCCCCCCTGCACCATTGCCTGTGTCCTGCAGACGCTCCATGGTGCAGCCACTGCAAGGAGATGGCTGCTGCCTGGGAGGAGCTGGGCGAGCGCTACAAGGACCACGAGAACATCGTTATCGCCGAGATGGACGCCACGGCCAACGAGATGGAGAACATCACCATCCAYGGCTTCCCCACGCTGCACTACTTCCCTGCAGGGCCAGGCAGGAAGGTGGGGCTGGGTCCCATGGCTGGGGGTCCCTGCAGGGCCACCCAGCTCTCCTGGAGCCGGGATGGGCAGTGAGCATCACCAYGCTGCTCCTCTGCCTCCCTCCAGATGATCGAGTACAAGAGCAACCGGGACGTGGAGACCTTCTCCAAGTTCCTGGAGAACGGAGGGATGCTGCCCGAGGAGCCGCCYGTGGTTAGTAGCAAGGGGGCAGGAACAAGGGTCCCAGTGGGTCCTCGTGGGGATGAGCCCTGCTCCTGTGACAGGGCAGGGACACCCTCCACCTCCGTCTCACTGCTGCCTTCTGCAGGTGACCGAGGCCCCCAGGAACATCACGGACACACAGGAGCCAAGTCCTTCGGGCACTGCTGAAAGCAGAGACGAGTTATGAGCGGGTGCTATAAATGACCTGGAAACGAAGCAGGATCTGGTCTGTGTCTGCAGCTGTGCCCCAGCCGCCCAGCGCACGGCGGTGCAGGGCGGAACGCCGGGATCGGCTCCACGCAGCGGTGCTCATGGCTGCTGCCTTGGCGAGGCCACACTCTGCTCTGCTGCCCTAGGCCTGTCCTAAAGTGCAGCCTGCCCTGGACCCCTGGCAAGGGCCTGGGGTCAGCAGGTGCCCGGGTCCCCTGCCCTGTCCTGAGCACAGCCCGAGGACACCCTGGGGAGCCCCAGCCCGTAGCCCTGGGCACGGGAGGGATCCCCACGGGGTCTCGTCGCCTCCCGTCCTGCTGTGACTCTGTCTGTGCAGCCCTGGGGGCAGCTGTTGCTGCGGGTGGGCAGCTCGGGGGGCAGCGCCAGGCTGGCCCTCCTGCTGTCACCGGGGCTGTCACGGTGCAGTGACGGGGCTGCCGCAGGAACCAGCCGGGGTTTTCTCCCCTGTATCCCCCGGGCTCCTATGGCCACGTGGCAGCCCCAGGGCCGCGGCAGAGCCAGGGAAGGGAGACGAGAGCATGGCGGGGCTCCCGATGCTGCTCCTGAGCCGCCCCCCAGCCCTCTCCCTGTCCCCACACCTCAGCCCATGACACTGGGGCAGCTCCCCCACCTCCCGGGCCCTGCTGGGCCGCGAGCAGCCCGGCCTCCCCCAGGGCAGCCCTCAAAAACACCCATGACTTCCCAGCCTGGACACGTGGCCAACCCAGGCTGGGCCGGACCTGCGCCACCCCTCAGCACTCACCCAGCGACCGACGGCCAGGACGTCTCTGCAGGGAAGGAAGGAGCCAGCGGCTGTTGGAGCGTGGGGTTTTATGGGGCTTTATTTCATTTTATCCAAGCACCTTTGAAAAGATCATGGTACAAGAAGGCACAGGAGGACGTGCGGGAGACGCCACCGGGGCRGCAGGAGGCTGCTGCGCTTTGCAAATGCACACATTTACAGGAGATCCCCCCAAAAAACGGAGGAGGTGGAAATCTCAGCTATGCTAACAACCTCACTAGACAYCCCATGATCAGAACTTAAAAAAAAAAGACAGAAGGAAAACATTCCTAGCGCTGTTCCCTGGCTGAAAGCGGTTGCGGGTCTTGCTGCACTTCACGCAGTGAAAAGCAAGTCACAGAACCGCGGGTCAAAGGCACTGGGTGACAGGTACAACAGGGCAAGCTGAGCCCCGCTTGGCCCTCGAGGTGGCACGTGGAGGTGCCAGGGTGGGCACCAGCACAGAATCCCTGACATGCAGAGGCCAGGGGCCCCCATGGTTTCCATGTGTGAGTGCAGGAGCCGATGGGACCTGTGGGCCCCTGAGCCGGCAGGAACGGGGTGCCCCAGGTGCCATCTGCAGCACTGCCCGTGTGGGTGACTGCCGGAGTCCCCGCAGCGGCACCAACAGCTCCCTTCGCCACGGGCACAGGAAGCGGCTGCGGAGCGCTCCTGCTGCCTCTCCAAAGCAGGGAAGCTCCACAGGACAGACCAAGGAGAGTTGTTCTCGTCCTCAGACTGAACCTGTCCCATGGGTTTCCATCTCCAYTACGCTTCCCCTGGAAAGACCCCCCTGCCCAGAGCCTCGGGACCGTGCGGTGACACTGGCATCAGGGCCCTGCTGGGAGCCAAGGCGCTGGTGCCACCACGGAGAGGGCAGTGGCCGGGGCAGAGGAGCCCGTGCTGCCACCCCGGCCACGCAGAGCAGGAGCCGGCACCGCGTGRCACCGCTTGCTGCTGGGCCCCTGAGCTCTGCGAGGAGGGAGACTGGAAGCCCTGGGCACGCGGGCTGGCAGAGAGGCGCCTTCCCTCCCGCATTTACTCAGTTACAAAAACCCTTAGGAGAAAAAAAAACATCCTACCAGCTCCAGGAGCCAGGTCTGCCAGCGACGGGAGAGTCCGACTTGCTGGAAACRGCTCCGTGACCCTCTGTGGCAAGGTGGGAACGCGGCGCTGGTGACAGAGTGGCCCCAGGGCGCCCACCCGGGCCAACGAGGGCTGGGCACTCTGGGTGAGCTCTGCAGTACCTGGCTGCTGTACATTCACAGAAGAGCACTGTGACATTGGAAATATTTTCCTTTTATTACAATATATCAAAAATATGCAGCTTTAGTAAACAAGGTCATATTACACTTTCTAATGCACTGTACAATGCTACATTACACTTATATTCGGTATGGAGAGGGAGCCCGGGCYGGGGCTCCCACTGGCAGGTTCGTGGGGTGAAACGACTTCCACTGGCAGCTCGGAGCTCGCCCAGGTGCTGGCGARGAGCAGGGCTGCCCGGGGCAGGCAGGTGCCCGGGGCGGCGCCATGGGGGCAGCGGCGCCAGCGCTCGCCCCAGGCCCGGGCCCCCGCTCCCCGAGTCTTTCACAGTCCTTTACTTAGGGTTTCTGGCAGCCTCGGGGCCTAATCGATCTTCTCCACCTTCCCGATGATCTTCTCCTCGAAGATGGGCAGAATGGTGTCATCCTCCCGCACCTCCTCGAAGACCACACCGCAGTCAAACTCGTCGCTCACTTTCTTGAAGTAATACCTGTAAAACAGAGACAGTGGCCGGGATTAATGCTGGGTACGTTCAGCAGCACAAGCCCTAAATGCAGGACCATCCATAGCTCTCAAAAGCAGTGGGGGAAGATGATCGTGCTGATGAAATCCCAAAGTGTTTTGAGGCAGAGCTTCCCACAGCATCTCCAGCTTGGAAACGGTTACTTGGAGAGAGACGCGTGTCATGCTGGGCTGCTACACRGCACAAAGCTGCTCTGGGACTCGGGCAGCTCCCTGGCCTCACAGGAGGAAAGTCTGGGAGGAGCTGGAACGGCTCTGGAAGCCAAGAGGGCTCCCCTGCTAAGTCCTCTTTGGGCAACCCCAGCATCASTGAGGATGGACACACACTGCTCATCACCAGCCCAGGACGCTGGGCTCCCTGGGGCCCGTGGGCACCGCGCGGCGTGGCAGCACCAGCCCTTACCTGTAGTTCCCTTTCTTGGTGAGCAGCTCCTTGAACTGGCCCAGCGTCACCACGCGGCCCTTGACGAGCGTGCGGTAGGGGATGGGCTCTCCGCAGAAGTAGTAGGCGACCACGATGTTCTCGCAGGGCTGCGAGGCGCCACTGCCCGGCCTCTTCTGGAGCTTCAACCTGCTGGGCAAAGACACGAGGGACCTGCTCAGCACCCAGTGGCGGCACCGGGTGCTGCTCTGGGCGTCGGGCCACATGGCAAGGGACACAGCTCGGGTACCACGGGAGGTGGCAGGTGAGATTGGCCTGTCCCAGCGCCCGGTGCTGGCRGGGAACTGCTCGGTGCTTCCATCACATTGTGCTTAAGGACACACTGAGCCACACGGGCCGCTCCCCGCGGCGCCTGGAGCCTCCCCGTCACGGCAGACAGGGCAAGGGCTTCCCGAGACCCCCCGGGTCTGCTCCCAGGGCACAGCCGCCAGCACAACAGCGACGGCCGCGGCACAAGCACCGCTCGCGGCTCCAGACCGCTGTGCCGGTGGCCACAGCAGCTCAGCAGGATTTTTTGGAGACCTATTGTGCAGGCAGGAGCGGCTCCGCTCGCCAGGGCCTCCTCCTGAGCAGCAGCAGGCAGCTCAAACGCGCAGCGGGGCGCAAGGTGCTTCCATCCCCGTGCAGCGCAGCGGGACGGGGCCTGGGGGCCCATCCTGTGCCGCCCCCTCCGGTGGCAAGGCCTCGTTGGGCTCCTGGCTAACCCACTGTTGAACAAGTTAACCAACTCCCTGGCCATGGTGGATGCCATCGCCAAAACCGGCGTGAACAGATTTAAAATCTCCCCCGTGTTTTCCTGACTCTCGGGATGCTGCTTCCAGCCCACACACGGTGGTCCCATGCCATGCGGTGCCATCATTAGGCTGGAAATGTCCGCCAGTCCTAGCCCCGTTTCCACAGGTAGACTAAAGGAGCAATGGCAAAAATAAAGATATTATGCACTTCTCTCGTGCCTTTCATCTGGGGCACTGCAAATGCTGCACAAACATTCAAGCAGCCTACACAAATCTGCAGTTTGGCATGTGTGGTCCTAGCCAGGGGCAGCATTCTCTTTCAAAAATCGCATAAAGCAAATTTGGCAGCTTTAATAATTATTTTTTAAAAAGCGTACTGGACAAAAATGATGATTTTGTATTTATATGACTGGAAAGTTGCTATAAAAACAGAGCCTGCCAAGCACATGAGCTAATGGCAGTCTTGGAAATGACTGCGGTCCTAACCTTTAAACACYGGCCCGCGGGCAGAGCCCCTTTTGAACGGCCTGCCCACATAAACACCGGCCACCAAGACCATGGCAAAAWCTTCCAGGGCTTCTGAAGGCCTCAGGATCAACAGGACAACGYTCCTGGTGCTCCGCCTGGGAGAGCTCCGGGGAGGACGTGCTATCCCGAGAGGAGGCTCCGCTCCCGGTGCCAGCAGCGCGTTCCGAACCTCTCTCATCCCCATATCAAAGCACAGGATGCCCTTTAGCTAGGAAAACATGAAGAAATTGAATCATCCGGGGGAAAAAAAAGGCAGGCATTGAAAGGAAAAATGGGTCATAAACTGAGGCAAGCTCTGTGAACCCTACGTGCCAGGAACTAATTGAAGGGGGCTGGAAAACCTCACAGTCCCTGAGCTTCTCTTAACTCGGCTAGGAACAAGTCACAAATAAGAAAGAGCTGCTTAGGTGCCCAGGGGACCCAGCACCGAGGGTCCGGGGGACGCGACTTCGCGCCCTACCCGGGCACTGAAAGGTGCTGGGACCTCCAGCCTTAGACATCTTCAAAACGTGGCTGGGCAAGGCCCGGAGCAACCTGCAGCCCCGCTCAGAGCAAGAGGCTGAACTGGAGACCTCCAGAGCTGCCATCCCACCAAAAGCCATCTGGGCAGAAGAAGTGGTCCACCCAGGGTATTTGGTTGGTCTCCTCTGGTSTGCAAACTCCAGAGGAGATGCAAAATGCAGGGGCACGGAGAGACCCACACCAGAGAGAGCTGCCA